CTATACATCAACATTCTTTATTGCCAGCCTCCAATTTTAGACAGCTGTCCATTTGTTTGAGCAACCGACTGAGACACGTCTCGATACCAGTCAAAGGCGCAGGCCACGCGTGGCAAAAGGACAATCACGGCCGACAGGCGCAACAACACCACAATCCATCACGGATCCTGGAAACGGGCCCTGAGATAGGCCAGGCGGTGTTCGGCGCACCACAAACTCCCAGATAAGCCCCCAGCGGGGTGGTCGCGCCCCCGTGCACTTTACACAGACCGCCCGCATAATCACACGCGGTGTGCGTACGGATTCATTAGCGTCCCTGCAGCCAAGGACACCCAGATATAGCCGGTGACACGGCCGAAGGGCCTGTGACGCGGGGGCGCGCGGGAGCCGCTGGCCGAGCCGCCGCCGTTTACATTAACACGTCGCGCACCAGATCGTGGCTCCTCTATCCGGGCGAAGATCCCAGATAACACGGACCTGAGCACACCGCGGCCCCGAGTGGCAGACCGCGCTCCGCGTCGTCCTCCGGCTGTGTGTGAGTCAGCCTACATCGTGCGGTGCGCTCAGTGGAGATGCCAGCTAACCCCCTGGCCGAACCGAGTCGAGCCGGGTCGCCGCGAGCCCTGGTGGCAGATCGCGCCCCGTGTCGTGCTCCAGCCGTGTGCTCCAGCCGACGACGTGCGGCGCGCTCAGTGGGGATGCCAGCTGACCCGCTGACCGGACCGAGCCGGGCCGGATCGCGCGGGCCGTGGCGACAGGCCGCGCCCTGCGCCGTGTTCCGGCCGTGTGTGACCCAGCCTACATCGTGCGGCGCCCGGTCGCGATGTCAGCTGACCCACTGACCGGACCGGGCCTGCGGTGCGTGCGAACTTTGGCGTGTGCGTGGGTGCAGGCGCCCTCAACTGCTGCGCACCAGAGACGCGTGTTCACGCACAGCGACTGCAGCCAAGCCTGGGGGGCGGCTCCGGGGCATCTTTAAGGAACTTTGAGTAGTAGCGAAATTCTTACGATATGGTGGGCCCGAACTATGGATTCCCTTCTCCGACACCAAATCCAGACTTCTCGGATATAGAGCACTTTATGTTGGCTTTTAGCTGAAAAACAAACACGATTTCTACCACAGACATTCACACATAACGTAATACGACATCCATATTTATTCCAAAAAATAGAATACCTTAACAGAGTAGGGATTCCCTTCAACTCAGGGTGAGCATTGCTTCGACAAACATTAAGCGAGGCACGGCTCATTTACAGCTAATACTAAAGCATCATACACTGAAAAAACAAAACATTACAAGAGCTCTGAGGGGCGATAAAGACCTCGTTAATGCCGGGGTATCTGGCAAAGGCGGGACATTTTCGCAACACATAAAATGCTCAAAAGACCCCCACGGTGGCCGACCTGTTGGGATGCGAGCCCAGCCGCACACCTCTGACGAAGCGGTCTGCGGCGGGGAGATACTGACGGCCTCGCGACCAGACGCCACCGGTTTGGAACATGATGGGCTGGCTGGATGACGCCATGCCAAAGGACTGTGCGGCCCGCTCGCTCCGCTCGATGGTGAGAGTTTATTTGCTGGTCCAGACCTTGCGGCGTCTTTGGACGCGTTGGTATGGGCGTCGCCGTATGTCACGTGAGGACGCCAATCCAGCCTTAAACTCCATGCTCCCATGTAGGAGTGAAATAGCCCCTGTTACGTGTTCTCAGTCGGATGTACCTGAACCAGGTCGCAGTCCCTGACTGATCACGGCTAGACACTAATCACAACACCATCCGGTTCACCCACCACCCTGACCACTATGTGGTCAACCAGTGCCTGGGTCACGTGTGCACGTCGCGTGACCCGCACAGGTCGCATGGCCCCCAGCAAACCGCCGGGCACGAAAGCCGCAGGTCACAGGGGTCAGGTCGTACTGGGAGATACACTGGGATCATACCTAACACATCTATACCAAGGACGTGTTAATGCGCTTTCCGCACGACTTTTGTGCAATATATTTTGCGCTATCTAGGCCCGCTGAGACGAATTTCGTTCGCGGCCGTGACACACTTTAATCCCCACATCCTAATCGCAGTCGCCAAATGAAGACCAACGCCAGAGCTGCCCTCACAAGCGCATCACCTCCGAGCGGGCCGTGGACTTAAGCCCGGCTATCTCCCGGCACTGAGGTACAGTGGCCGTTCAGGCTCTGTTCACGATAAAATCGTCCATTTACGGGCGTTTTTTTCTATACAGAGCACTTCATGTCCGATGTTCGGCTCCTCCCACCACCTGCTACCCGGGCTGTGTCCCGAGACATCCTGTACCCCCCCTCCCCCCCGCGGACGCTCGCCCGGCAGCAGCCTCTCCCCCCCCCCCTCACCTGACCCGGGTGCCCTCCGCCCTGCGGCCGGCGCCTGCCCCTACCCCGCTCGCTGACGGCGCTGTACTTGAGGCTCAGCTCGTCCCGGTCGGCCCTGGACGACGACAGCATGTCCTGCACCGATGACAGGTTGCTCTCCAGGGTCGCGTTGATCCGCTGCGGCCATGTCAGGTCAGATCAGAACGGTTCAGGCCAGGTCAGGGCGGTTCAGGTCAGGTCAGGGCGGATCACAGCAGGTCAAAGTCGGGTCCACGGCACGCACGCAAACACACCACTGCTGGTTAACGACGAACCCGCTGATGTCGAGTCAGGTCAGGTCACGTCAGGTCGGGTCAGGTCAGAGGGAGCGGCACGCCCAGCACACACATCGCCGCGGAGCAACAGCAATCCGCTGAATGGAGCCAGGTCCTTGTGAACCTCGCCTGGCCCAGGCCCTTGGTGAACCTGACCTGGCTCAATCAAGTCGCCGTCACACTGCACCCGAACGCAGCTTAATGCTGTGACTCACTATACATCCTCGGCGGCACAGCCTCGGCGCGTGCGCACACCGTCCGTTACAGCGAGTGTCTCTGCGACTGCGGCTGGAGAACCGAGCATCAGGAGACACTATGCAGCTCAGGACGCGTTTTAACGGCGCAACGCGTCTCTCCGGCAGCGCATCACGACAGCTCTCGTGTGTTCTGCGCGGCGCAACATGAGAACACGCGCCCTTATCAAGGCCTTCCTCACGGAGTGGCTCACAGCGGCTGGACCGCTAAATGACGCAACGACAACAACACGCATCAATCAATTAACCACCGAGCACGGAAGCATCTGGAGTCCGCGGCACTGAAAGCGGACCATCTGCGCGGTTCGATGTTCGACTTTGCCTCCACGTGGCAAAAACTCGGCGCCATCGAGACCTCCAATACCGCCCTCGGCCGGGCGGCAAACAACATTGACGGCCGACACAGCACTGCGGCCGGCTGGCAACCGGGAGGCGCCGACCGGGGCTGGCCTGACGGAGGGGGCCCCGTAGCGGGACGCCTGCAACGGCATGACCCTCACGGGCGCACAAGGTCACTGGCGTTTGCATGCTTGAGGCCAATCAGGGCATTTCGACGATGGTGATGAACGCGGCGAGCAAGCGTTTAGGAAAAGGTTACGCTGCCCATTGCGTAATGGTTGCCCATAAGTTTGTTAGAGACCACGATGACGTAGAGCCAGCCAATCCATGACAATGGAGCAACACCAGCACCGGCGCACAGAGAAGGCGTCCTGCCCACGCGGGATGAGATCGCTCGGTGAATTTCCTCCTCCGGGTCCTCGCTGGGAGGAAGCAGGAGGAGACTTCACTGAGCCAAGGCCACACACCATACGGTGACACATACATCTGGACTGAACACAGCGCCCGGAGGAAGCTCGATCCGCTTCAGATGACATCAGCCATTCTCACCCGAGGCCGAGGGAGAATGACTCGAAGGACGCTCGAATAACACACTTGTCAGAGTTGCTCATAAGCCTGCTGACAAACAGGATGGTCGATAGTCCGATGTTTTCAAGGATTTGCTATTGTTCAGCTAGCAACAAGCCGTCCCAAGGACGACCAGAGAGGCCAGGAGCACTAACTAGGCCGCGTGTATCTCCAGCTCTGTCGCTGTGCCGTGTGCGACGAGCCGAGACCACGCGCCGGGAACCGGAGCCACAATGAGTAACCACGAGGGATGCTGCGAGGACGCGTCAGAAATTCACGAACATGCCGAACAGGCAACACAGGCATCCCCAGCCAGCTGAAGAGACCAGGTTTGTCGGCTGGCAACGCCATGTCTATTCATGCTGATTACAAATGTCTACTGCTTCTTTTCATAATGCATTATAATTACATCATTGTGATTCACGTTAGCTGACTGTTCATGTTGCTTTTACACCCATGGTATGTGTTAACGTGTAATGCTGTATTTGAGATTAACATGTTTATTCTGAACTTCCAACATTACATAGCTTTCTTTTGCATTATATCAGCATAACCATTATATTTACGTGATCATATGCATCATCACATATGCATCACACCTATTTCATCTTTGTTTACAACCTCTAAACGGAAAACAGCTCAGTGCAAGCACACCGGAATAAGGTGAATCTGAGAAAGCTTCCCAAGCGACCTCCCACCTGTCGCTGTCCCCGCCCCGCCTCTTCCCTCCCCGCCCTGACTCATCCCGCCCCGCCTTGACCCATCCCGCCTTACCCTGACCCATCCCGCCTCACCCTGACCCATCCCGCCTTACCCAGACCCATCCCGCCTTACCCTGGCCCATCCCGCCTTACCCTGACCCATCCCGCCTTACCCTGACCCATCCCGCCGCTGCCCCGCTGCCCACCTGCAGCCGGGCCAGGCGGTCGGCCGGCTCCATGTCGTCATCGGACAGCTGGCCTGCCTCGTCCGCCGACGAGCCGGCCTCCTCCCCGGAGGCGGCCGACGGGCTGTCGTCGGGCGGCACCGGCCGAGCCCCGCGCCGGCCCCGCCGCCAGGGGGCCGCCGCCGGCCGAGACTCGAGCGTGATGCGGCCGGCGGCCGGCTCACGCGCACCTGGCCGCGTCACACGGCACCGTCACGGCGGTCACGGCCGCTTCACGACGGGGTCACGACCGGTTCACGACAGGATCACTGAGAGTCACGGAAGGGTAACGCGAGAAGGTCACGGGAGGGCGACGAAAGGACCACAGGACTGTCGCCTGAACACTCAACACACCTGAACACCTGAACACCTGAACACAAGTGTTGAGGAAGGCCCAAAGCAGGGTCAGCCGGCTCACGGAATGGACACTGGGAGCATCACGGGAGGGTCGAGGGAGGTTCATGACCTTGTTGCACGCGATAACGCTCACCCAATAGTGATGCACGCGTCACATATAAGTACATAGTGGCGCGACCAGACACACAAACAAAATACCGCGACAAACTGCTGCAACTTACTAAATTCCGTTTACACATGATTGGCAGCCCCTTCGAGGGGAGGTGACCGCGTGGTCGTTGTGACCTCTCACACGGAGGCGTCGGGTTCGTCTCCCTGTCGCGCCAGGACGCCTGGGCGCTAGTGTGGCTACCGTAGTCGCTGGCGCTCCGCAAACAGTATCTGCATCTCGGAATCATGCTTAAAGCAGGACATGTCATTCGGCTTAATTTAAGATTAGGTCAAACAGAACGGCAGTGACCGAGACCGACCTCTGGAGGTGATCGGGACTGACTTCGAGTGGTGACCAGAACTGACCTCTGGCGGTGACCGGGACTGACCTCCAGCGATGACCGGGACATACCTCTGACGGTGACCGAAAATGACCTCGCTGACGAGCACTGACCTCTGGCGGCGGCCGGGCGCGGCTCGTCGGCCTCCCGCTGTCCCAGTCGCCGGTAGGGCGGCTCGTCGCCACCGACTCCCGCCTGGCTGGGCAGGCTAGGACTGCCGCGCACCTGCCCTGTGTGCCGCTGGGTGTGCGGCTCCGGCGGATCCCGCGGCTCCCGCGGTTCCCGCAGCTCCCGCGGCTCCCTCGGCTCCGGCTCCGTCAGGTCGGGCTCGCCCAGCGGCCACTTCAGCTGTAATGAGACAATGCCGTCTGAACACCAGGTCACCGACCCGGGGACTGGGGGCGTCAGGGTCACGTGCACGGCTGGGTCAGGTGGTGTCATCTGAACACCAGGTCACCGACCCGGGGACTGGGGGCGTCAGGGTCATGCGTCCGGCTGGGTCAGGTGGTGTCGGCTGTGGAGACGGCAGCGGGGGGGGGGGGGGGATCTGATCTATAATGCTAAGGTAGCCGTCGCGCAAGATCGCGGGGCATATAGGACCTGGAGGCAGGGTGAAATACAGCTAAACGGTGTCGTGCATCAAAAGTACGGAAAATGGAATCGCATCCGTAAGATACAGGCGTAGTCAACCAATCAGCCCTTTAACCTGACCTCACATAGGACGATGCTGATTTGCTGTTTCGTCACTAGCACTACAAAGCACGGTTTTCAAAACAGGACAGTTTTAGCGGAAGTATGATAGTGACACTTTTCCCAGCCGCCACCCAAAGGTCTCGCAAACAAAGGGCATCTACCACCCAACAGCGCGGTACAGTTGGTACCACGTTACAAGCCACCCCACTCCAAATCACAGCCCTCAGTATCGCCATCAGCATCACTCATGATAGTTAAATCGACCGCTGGATTGTGGTATTTACTTAACATGGTTACCGGAACATGTACTGACATGCTACACATTGCAAAGAATGTTTGGCAGTGACCGGGCCCCACACCCCTGGCAACGGCAACTTTGGGATTAGAGCTCTTACCAAGCATAACCTGGTGCGAAGGCCTATCTCACCAGAGCGGTCTCATGTCAACGGACAACTCTTGCCGAGGGATTTCAGCATGTCATACCACACCGGAGCACGCCCACCCCTGCTTCCACTGGGGTCTCTCGGCCATACGCCGGAGCACGCCCGGGGCGGGCGTGCTCTTGCTGATGCGTGCTGCCGCTGGGGTCTCTCGGCCGGACGCCGGAGCACACCCACCCCTGCTTCCGCTGGGGTCTCTCGCCCGGATGCCGGAGCACGCCCGTCCCTGCTTCCGCTGGGGTCTCTCGCCCGGATGCCGGAGCACGGCCGTCCCTGCTTCCGCTGGGGTCTCTCGGCCCGACGCCGGAGCACGCCCGCTCTTGCTTCCGCTGGGGTCTCTCGGCCGGACGCCGACTGAGTGTCACAGACGAATGGTCCCAAACGAGTCACGTGAGCAGAGCCTCGGGGCGCCGCCCCCCGTGAATGTCAGCCAGTCACCGGTCGGCGTGTCTGACGCTGTACTAACAGCACTTCGAACATTACAGTAACGACACTACAGCACTACAGGAACGACACCCGCGCGCGCTCCGCCACAGTTCAAAGTCTTCAGATGCATCGACGTTTTTGACGAGCTTCTTCCCATACACCGGGTGTATGAAAACGGTACGTCCTACAACGTACGCTGGCGCGGGAGGGTTTTTCCCGCCCACCCTACGTGGAACCCTCTACTCTTGCGGGTCATGCAGCTATACAAGGAAAACGCACTGACACTGAAAACAGCTTGGGGCGACATACTTCTCTATGCTCCTGCTGTACGCGGTCACTTCTCGGTACAACTGCAAAGCGCCGGTTATAAACTGAACTACACCGTACATATTTCGAATTTGCAGCACGATAACGTCACCATCACCGACACTGAGCAGGTTCGGTGTGTCATCAGCCTCGGACTTGCCGCCTCGGGTGCCAGGTCGAAGTTCGCTGCGTCGGCATTGTTGGACGTGACCAAAATCCAGTGTTTGCACAGCACGAGAAATCTCTGTGGGCGAAGCTCCACGAGTACTCTGAGCAAGACGCCCCACGACCACGAGTGTTCGCGTCGTCACAATCAGACCAGGTACGGGCCAGGCAAAGAAGCTTGGAAGACACTTAGACGTCAGCTGAAGTCACCACGATCCCCATTCTTGATAAAACTGGAAAACTTTTTGAAAAACCGTATCTCTTTGAGTGACCACGCGCGATAGCAGGATATCGTGCGGGTCGGAATGCCCGCATGAAATTATACATTAAAAAACAGTAGTGACGGATGGAAACCGTCTTGCAAGAGATGTTCGGCGATTCACTTGGTGGACAAACTTTGTTGTTTATTGATATTCTGTGGGTGACATGTTTCGTCGTCTCCCTCTGGCGGCCTGGCTGTCCAGGTCCCAGAGTCCACGGCGGGCCCTGCCCTACCAGTGCCCTGTGCTCCCGGATATTCAGGCCAAAGTGCAGCCCTTGGATGCGCCGCCCCAGACCCGTGCCGCCCCAATCCCAGCGACACCGAAGGTGCAACGAAGAAAGCCCGGAGGGCATCCTGCAGAATGAAGAAGAAGCTGTGCGTCGGCAGTCATCGCGCAGGTGGGAAGGAGGAAGACGCGGGGACGTTGTGCTGTCGGCGAGCGCAGAGTCCCCGCTGTCACAACCGGATACGAACGAGACAACACGCTGGAGCCTATGCTGTGTCTGGAGCCCGCTGCTGCATGCCACACACCCATCACGCATCATACGTCCCAGGCTCGGAGCGTACCCCTCCCCGCCCCTGCCAACACCGTTCAGCTACCGCAGCGTCGGCGGCCCGACTGCGAGTCCCATAAATCACCAGGGCAACGAGCACCGCCGGGTGAGAGCGTCCGTCAGGGCGCGTGGCCGAGCGGCGTCCGGCGTGGTGACGCGGGTGACGCCGCCGGCCGATCGGTTTCATCACACGGCACGTGCACGCCAGACTCCGGCAGGGGCGACCTTCGACCCCGAGCCCGCCTGGCGCCGCCAGCAGCGCTTGCCCAAGCTGCTGGACGCGTTGCGTCAGCCGGCAACCGGCAGATCATGGAGGGGAAGGGCACGGCACCGATCTTTAGGAGGGAGAGAGCATGTGACCAGTCTATTGCACAGGGGGCACACGGAAACGGTCTTTTGAAAGGGGAGCACAAGGAAGAAAAGAAGCACACGGAACTAGTCCATCAAAAGAAGCACACGGAACTAGTCCATCAAAAGAAGCACACGGAACTAGTCCATCAAAAGAAGCATACGGAAACAGTCCATCAAAAGAAGCATACGGAACTAGTCCATCAAAAGAAATGCAAGCGGGACCGGTCTATTGAAAGGAATGTACACGGGACCGGTCGATGGAAAAGGGAGCGTACGGGACCGGTCTTCTGGGAGGGGAGCGCAAGGGACCGGTTTACTGGGAGGGGAGCACAGGGTGCCGGTGCGTTGAAAGAGGACACGAGGAACTGGTGTATGGGAGGAGACCAGGCGATAACCGTGAGCAGGAAAGGGGCAGGCGGGATCCAAAATGAAATGGAGCAGGCGAGTTCAATGTATGGGAACAATGGACTCGTGCACCAGGACTAGAACACGGAGTATATGCAGAATGGATCATGGTGCAACACACATGCACCAATACCAAAAAAAAACGCCATTTGTTGTTTCAGCAGCCTATTCGAAGCGTTGCCCTAAGGATGCGGAGTGTGCCTACCATATGCAAGACAGCTCCCGCTGTCGCCACTACCCCGATCATGATCAGGCAAGCGACACGACCATCCTGAGGTTGGCAGCTGCCAGACTGCGCACGACAGCTCGTCAGCATGGCTGGCCCGCGACAGCTAAGCTGCTTCTGCAGAACTTACACAACTGGGGCGAGACAAATAATCAGAGACCTCAAGTTCGGCCTAGCACCAGGAGGTGAGCTGTTTATTTTGCCCGGGCGGTTTCAGTGACTCAGAGCAGAAGCGTGGCACTGGCACCATCTCACGATGCGGTCGAGACCATGCCATCACCAACGGCCAGCCATATCCGTTCAGCGGTCTTGTCGTGGGAGGCGGGACGAAGCCCGAGATCGAAGAAAAACTAAAATATAGGAAAACTAAGGTCACCACTTAAGCAGTGATGACAGAACAAAAAATGTCTGAATGTGCTACTGGCCACGAAATCACCTGTTTCCAAGCCAGACTATGCGCTATTTAAGTGCCTGTTTGCGGAGCAACGTCAAGATAACCAGATAGCCACGGAGCAGCTGATGGCGAGAAGGCGGAGGAAGCAAGCGAGCAGACGCCGGTGGCAACTGACAGGGAAACAGGGCTTCCTGCCAGGACGGCAATTCAGCTGAAGATGACGAAGACGGACGCATACGGACTGCCGGTTAGAACATCGGATTGGGCGGGACCTTGGAGCGGACGGTCAGCCCTCGAGCTTGTTTTGACTCCGCATGCATCAGCAGGAAGAAACGTGGGAATTATTCAATCGTCGGGAGACTATTTTTGTAGGCATGCATGAAGTGTAAAAGGTGTGTAAGCAAAAGGTGGTAATGTAGGTAAAAGGTGTGTAAAAGTAGGTAAAAGGTGTGTAATGACACACGTATGTGGAAACAACTGAAGAAGGGTGACAATAAGAGACCATTGGCGGCTGCGAATATGTCAGGAGTGTTAATTTATTTTTGGGAATTTGGAGGAAGTAAAGAAATATAATTGTAAAATATAGCGCACACTACGGATTATATAAGCATCTGTGTCAAGGCCGGAGCAAACTCCGCTTGTGCGGGGCAGTGTCGAGATAAGCAGACAGCCATGAAAAAACTGATTGGCAACGCCGGCGTGGGGAGGGCAAAGTTGAAAACGGTGTCTTGATCTTCGTACACTTACTGGATTCTGTTTCGTTTCAACTCAACGAGTATTCAAAAGCACACTCCAGTAAACCGTTTCTTTTTCTTGGAGGTCCGAAAATGGGCCATTTTCTGCTCAACTTGGGCCATCTTCGGGGAGGATGACCCAGCTGGCCTTCCCCTGGATCCGCCCGCGACCAGAGTGCAGGTTCAGTTACCCAAGGGTGGATCCAGAGAGGGATTTTTGGAAGACCTATTACAAGTAATACATTTACAACTCTAAACCCAGCATAAACGGGGGGAAACTCCGCTTCTAATTTCAGAGAAAATGGCTACGTTGGATCTCTGAATTTGGGGTCGCCTAGAATCATCACCCTGTCTCTTCTAGCCTCTTCCCCTTGAACGTCTTTTTGGTGTTGTACACTTTTTTGCCAATGCGGTCACTGCGGCCCAACGTTCTCGGCATCAGTCATCTTGCCGATGCGCTATCTCCTTCAGGAAAGCAGCGACATATCTATATATATATATATATATATATATATATATATATATGTTTATATATAGATACATATATAACTATGCAAATTATAATTTACGGGCCTCAACTTCTTTCAGTAGACGCTAAAGGCTATTCCCATAAGGACATAGTGCAGGAAACACCATCAGAGTCAATACCAAAATTTGTCGGAACAAATAATGCAGAGCTTATCCAATATCATAGGGGGAATGATTTACAGGGGTTTAAATATGTGCATCCTGCAAAGCGTCTCCAACCCCTCATTATACCCCGCAAAACCTACCCCGGCCGGTCGTCTGACCCCGCCAGCCGATCGTCTGCCTCTCATGGGACGGTCCTCTGCCTCTCGCTGCCAGCCGTTCGACCCTCACCTGGTGGTCGCGCTCGGGCCGGTGAGGTACGGTGGGCGGCTGGTACGGCGGCGGCGGCCCGGCCAGCGGGTCTCGCTCGCGGTACGGCGGCGCCGGGCCGTACCCCGGCCCCGGCAGTGCGCTCGTGTCTCGCGTCGGCGCCGGGGACCGGTCGTCGCTGCGAGCGGGGTACAGAGTGCGCGGCGACGGCGGCGTCTCCGGCGAGGTGCTGGCGCTGTCCGCCAGGCGGTACATGCCGGCGCTACGGCGGAGAGCGTGCTCGTTCTCCGCCTCGCCGGCCGGCAGGTCCGGACTGCGCGGCGAGTCCGCAGCCGCGGTCATCGCGGCGGCGTCGTCAGTCCCGGGGAACAGGTCGTCACCGCCGGCGCCGGCCATCAGCCGCAGCACGCTGCCGCGACTCCTGGCCTCGTTGCCTCGGACGACGGGCGCGACTCTGCGAGCCGCGTCGCCGAGGTCGTCAGGATTCTCGGGAGCGGCGCCTTCCGGGCGAGCCCCCGACGCCCCCTCCCGGCTGTCTGCCTCCGGCCGCTCCGCCTCGCACACAGCAGGAGCGGCGGGGACGGCCGTTCGGGCCGGCCGTCGCCCGCTCGGCGGCCGGGCCGGCGAGCTCCAGGTGCTCGGTGCTGCGGCCGCTCGAGCGGTACCCCTCGTCGGGCGAGACGGGCGGGTCGCGTTCGGCCTGCAGCCGCGCCGTCGCCGACCCCGGCCCGACCGTCAGCGCGCCGCCCAGGAGCACGTCCAGCGAGCCGGCCGGCGGCGGCGGCAGCGGCGCCGGCGCCGGCGGCTCGGCCCCGCCGCCGCGCCACCACCGGCCGCTCCAGCGGAACGGCAGGCGACGGGACGTGCGCGCAGCCGGCGCTTGGCCGCCCGCCGGCGTGACTGGCCCGTCCGGCGGCGGGATCGCCAGGTTCTCCGCTGAGACGGACGCGAGCTTAGTGAGTGCGTCGGCCGCTGTTGGCGGCCGCTGCTCCGGCGGCGGCGAGCCGGGCGCCCGGTACAGAGTCTCGCAGCTGGAGGCGCGCGGCAGCCGGCGGCGCCGCATGCTGAATCGATCGCTGCGTCGGCCCACGTCGTGCTTGACGTACGTCAGCCGCGGCTCCTGCGAGCCCGCCCGCTGGATGTCGGTGAAGCCGGGCGGCGCGGCGGCGTGCCCTCCGTCCGCCTTCTCCTTGTCCTTCCAGAACCGGGTCAGCTTCTTCATAGCTCGACGCGATGGCTGTCACAACCGCAGAGCTCCGCACCACCCCGCGCTCCGCGTCACGCACCCGACGAGCCTCGCAGGGCGCCCACCTCTCTCCGACGTGCAGACCCGGCGCCCGCCGTCGGCCGCCGGCCGGCGGTCCACGACTGACCAGCGGCCCTCCTATTGACCCCGTCAGCAGGCAACATCGACCCCCGGCCACCTGTTAAAGCGGCGGCGGCTCCGGCCGGCGCCCTGGACACGCGACGGCTCCGGCCGCTCCGCTCCGCGGCGGTCGACCAACCAACAGGCGGCCGAGAGTGACGGCAGAGGCCGGCGTGCGACACGCAGCTCCGCACGCGCTGTGGTCCTCCGCTCAGGCTGACGGGCCTACAGGCGTCCTCTGCTCAGGCGGACGGACCCACAGGCGTCCTCCGCTCAGGCGGACGGACCCACAGGCGTCCTCCGCTCAGGCGGACGGAACCACAGACGTCCTCCGCTCAGGCTGACGGAACCACAGACGTCCGCCTCTCAGGGTGACGGACCCACAGGCGTCCTCCGCTCAGGCGGACGGACCCACAGGCGTCCTCCGCTCAGGCGGACGGAACCACAGACGTCCTCCGCTCAGGCTGACGGAACCACAGACGTCCTCTGCTCAGGCTGACGGAACCACAGACGTCCTCCGCTCAGGCTGACGGACACACAGGCGTCCTCCGCTCAGGCCGACAGACCCACAGGCGTCCTCCTCTCGGGCTGACAGACCCACAGGCGTCCTCCTCTCGGGCTGACAGACCCACAGGCGTCCTCCTCTCAGGGTGACGAACCCACAGGCGTCCTCCTCTCAGGCTGACGGACCCACAGGCGTACTCCGCTCAGGCTGCAGGCCGGCGGGCGTCCGCAGCCGGCGCCGCAGCCTTCACGACGACTGCGGACGCGGCACTGGTCGGCGGCCCCGGCGCCGTGGTGCCAGGCGCCGCGCGTGTCCCCTCCGTACGCGCACCTGCCCTGCCCCTGTCTGTCTGTCTGTCTGTCCGTCTGTGCGTCCGTTCGGGCCAGTTGTATCGATACGGGCACGACGAGGGGAGACCGGTCGCACGTGGCGAGCGACATTGATTACACGCTCCCGGCCCGATAGGGGAGGAAAATGTCAATAACGGGCCGGAAGTACCTGGCAATTAAATCGCAGAGGTGGAACGAACCCACAGGTACCTCGGCAAACTATCTCTGTCCATTCACCGACGAAGCAGTCGCTCGTGTAAAGCATTTATTTCGACCGGGTCGCTGGTGATAACCGATTAGATAAATAAACAATTATGCAAATTTTCAACACACAAAGACGCTCTCAGTGCAAACAACTTATCAATCGATGAGTCATTCAAACACAATGAGTCAATTTTCGTGCTTGGCTGCGGTCATCATCAGCTCCTATTATCACCTGCTCCTGGCTATTTGCCCGCTCCTATCCAGAACTAAAAACAGATTAGATCACGATGTTCAAAGGAATTGTTGGTTCGAAATGTCGGTATTCTGAGTAATGCGTGCACATTTTACACTCTGATTTATTGACACATGGTTCCCGTGGCAATGACGTTGAAATGATAATCAAGCTCGACACATTTGTCATGCTAGGCAAGGGACTGTTAAGGACGTTGAAATGGCAAACGTTGACGCAATGGCGTTGAAAAGACAAACGGGTTCGACACGTTTGCAATGCTAGACAAGAAATTGTTGGTACGCAGTGCCGGTATTCTGGGTAACGTGTTTACATTTTACGCTACGATTTATCAGCATATAGTTGCCGTTGCAACGACGTTGAAATGGCAAACGGGTTCGACACGGTTGTAATGCCAGGCACATGGCAACAAGCTGACGAACGTCACCTTCGACATTTCATATGCGAGGAGTTGCACTCCATACCGGCTCTCGGGGCGGTATGACTACGGCCCACTCAGCCTCATTCTTACATCATGGCAGGTCAGAGCTGTCAGACGTACCGGTACTCCCACGTCGGTGTGTCGCAACAGCACTATGAGGCCTAAGATGATCCGATCATTTATGAGATTAACAGCGTCTGAGGGGCTCTGGCGTACAGGCAGTGTTTAAGGGGCATCGTTGACACCTCCAGCCATGCACCCAGCATTTACACTGGCCGGACCTGACCATGCCAGCGAAGGGCGAACGGCTTCCCCAGATTCACCGTTGAACGCCAATGGCCGGGACACCTTGAACAGTCTCCGACTAGGCGGCCGGGGCCGTGCGTGAGGCCCCAGCGACAGCCCGTGCGCGGCGCGGCACCCGGCGCGGGCGCTGCGCCCGGCGCGGGTGTCCCCCGCCGCCCGGGAGCGGTGCGGGCGCGGGCCCTCCGCGAGCCCGCGAGACGGCCGGCGCACCGCACCAGTCTCTCCGCGAAAGCTGTCGATATCCGCGCGGCACTTCAGTCAGCGGTGGACTTTGACCGGCGCTGTCCGTGGCAGCGGTCGCAGTCCAAACAGATCGCCGGTGACGGAGCGCGGCGCGAGCAGTGCTCTGGCCGGGCGGGCACGAGCCGCGCCCGCGGTAACGACGGCAACGGGCCACGCAGCCGGCCAGGTGTCTGCATGCGGCGCTACCGTCGACGCGGCGAGCCTGGCGCAGCACGGGCAGAACCCAACAGGACGTGCAGACTTTTTAGATTTTATTCGTTCGGCCGTGGCACCGGTTAAAGAAGCTCGAGTTGGATTCAGTTGTCGTTTTTTCGGCGTGGTAAAATGTTGCTTTGATCTTGCCCCCACAGAAGGTCTGCAGCCAACAGTTGGTCAGGATCATCGACTGCGGGAAGATATCAAGATATGTGAGAAAGATAAGATATATAAGACATATGAGAAAGACAATAAGATATCAGAGTTGACAGTGGTATGCAACTACAAACCGCAGGTACGGAAGAACCTACAGTCGTGTCTCGAACCCGACCAAGTGCCTTGGCGCTCGACGTGTAAAAACAAGATCCATAATATAGGTGCCGGCCAAGTTGCGATGTCTTGTGAACCTTAAGCCTAATTAAAAGGCATCCATAAATTGAGTCAAAATTACCATTTGCTTGCTCTTTTCCAGTCCAAGGCGCTACGGCCGGGGACAATCATCGGCAGAAAAAGCTCTGATGACCGACCCCCGGAAACGTTGGTACTCTGATGCAGACGATGTGGTGTGGGTAGCCGGCAGTCATTCAGGTCTGCCCACCGGCGTCCAGTCACGTGTGAGTGCGCACGCGACACGTGATTTGGGCGTGCCATCCGCTCCGAAGGCGCCAAACACACGCTCCCACACACACCGATACACAAGCGGCGTCGACCGATGGTGTATTTACAAATGGGCGATGACCGCGGCCCTCCGAACCCCACCCCGCGGCCGGAGCTCTGACGTCATGGCCGAGCCAGCTGACGCCTCAAACCGGCCGCATTGCTCAGAGCGTCACGAGCGGGCAGCTGTCGCAGCAGCCACGCCCGGCCGCTGGGAGCGAGAGCATTGGCAGCTTGCACGCCATCACGTGACCGCCAAACGCCACGCAGAAGCGTTAAGCGTTGATGTAGCCATTCCCGATAAACTCTATAGGCTTATAGTGGCGATTACAGAGAGTATTGGTATGCGCACGGCGACTTATATGGGTACGCCGGCGGCGATGCGCATGGATAAGCAAACACGGTTCGGTCGCAGCCGGACCACATCACGGGCCGCAAAATATGACAAATAAACCTATACGCATGTGCTGACAAACGACCAAACCAGGCACGCACCGACAAACACACTCAAACGCGCACACCAAGGTGCCGGCAGTAGGACGCAGATCCGAGCGTCCAGTCGCTCCTTCGCATTCTAGCCGTGCATATTAAATGAGATCTCTGGCAGACGGCCGTGCCCGGCGAGGAGCACCGAGCACGACGCGCTCCGCGTGCCGGCCCCTGCCGCGGCTCGCCGGGCGGCCAGCGCGCAGCACCCCTCCCACCCAGCCCGCCGCCAAGCAGCGGCGGTCCAGCTCCGCGCGGCGTCCTTCGACCCGACGGACGTCCAGGCCGGTCCCAGCGACCCGCAGCGTTCGCACGGGCGTCCGCCGTGGGGCGAGCCGCAGCGAGCGTCGCCGGCCCGGCTCAGCGGACGTCCCCCGCCGGCCGCCCCCAGCCGTCGCCGGCCGGCTCGTCGTCAGCGTCGCCGACGCCGGCGAACCACTCGCCCGCCTCGCGGTGGTGGCCGGCCAGGAAGTCGAACTCGTCTGCCGTGCGGCCGGCGCCCAGAAGGCCAGTCACCAGCCGCCATGGCACCAGCACGTGGTTCCACAGGAGGAACGGCAGCGGGTCACAGAGCGAGAACACCACCTCGCGGCCGCGCAGCAGGAGCTTAAGGCCTAGCGCCAGCCGCGCCAGCAGCGGCGCCGGCCGCAGCTGCAGCAGCGCCGCCAGCAGCATCAGCAGCTGGCCGTACAGGCTGTAGACGCAGAGCGGCCGGCTGGGCTCGCCGAACACGTCGGCCGGCGGCGGTGGCGGCTCGCTCGCCAGCATCGCCGTGAGCAGGCCCATGCGGCCGTCGACGAAGAGCAGCGAGAGGTCGGCGCACGGCTTGCAGTGCACGGGCAGGAACGTGGTGCGCCGGCCCTCCGGCACCGTCTTCAGGAAGCGGAAGGTGAAGGCGCCGGACACCTCGTAAGGCAGCCGGCGGAAGAACAGCAGCGCCCACTGCTCCATCTCGCGGCTGCGCACCATGTGCAGGGTGCTGCCCTCGCGGCACGCCACGCACGTCAGCACACGGTTCTTGCGCACGAGCACGGTCAGCAGGTACTGGTAGCCGGCCGTGAACTTGGCCACCACCCAGGGGCCGCTGGCGCCGGCGCCGATCACGCCGTCGTACTTGCGCTGCGCCTCGCCCAGGCTGCGCGGCATCGGCAGCCACTTGGACTCGTGCAGGCCGTTGGGCGCGGCCGTCTTGGCCATGAAGCGGCAGCCGTTGATGACGATGACGCCGCGCCGGTACAGGCCCGCGATGCGCTCCATGTC